ACTCAGAGATCTATAGATAGTGAGAAGCAAAAGCAAATAAAAAAAATATCATATAGTGATGATTGTTGGCTCACTTTTGATCGTTGTACCAAAATCCTTTACAAAGTTAAAAGTAATATATATATATATATATATATATATATATATATATATATATTATAACGGTTTGGTCTGGGCCAGTCCGGGCCTGTAGGACCTTAATCTGGGACCGAACCAAAAATTCACGGTTTCATTATTTTATAACCGTGACCAGACCGAGCTGCTATAGAACGGCCCAGACAGCCCGATTCGGTCCGGTCCGGTCCGGTTTGGTTTTTCGGATTAACGGTTTTTTTGCACACTCCTATGCATGTTTGTGAGTTGGGATAGGGGTAAGGAGGTCAGATATGACCAAAAAGGGTGTTCGGGAATAGGAACTGGTCAAGAAAGGGCAAAGTGCCCATTTTCTGGGCAACCCGAGTACTCGGTGCAGGGCTCGAGTACTCGGCTAACAAGGGGCTCTGCACGCTGCGTAACCCTGCCGACGTGCAGGGGGCGCTTGGAGTGTCCTCCGAGCGCTCGAAATTAGCTTCCAAGTACTATTTTTTTTTTACTTCTTCGGTTGTTTCTGAGCTTCAACGTGTGGGTCCTACATGGCCTTTAGGAGGTTTGGAAGGTTACGGCCCCGCCAGAATTCGAGCGGAATGGCCCAAAATGTGCTTTTTAACCCTAGAACAGGCGAATTAGAACCAAGTTGTTTCCTTTCATTTACAAATGAACTAAGTGGCTAGATATGACCTAGATGATAGTTGCAAAGTCCCCAATGCATTGTACAGTCCAAAAAGACCAATTTACCCTTCTAACCCTAAATAGACCGATAAGAAAACAGAGTTGATTCCCTCATTCTCAAGTGAGCCAAAATGATTAGAAATGACCATTACGACTTTATATTAACCTCCAGTGAATTATACGGGTCATAATGACCATTTTACCCTTGGGCGTTTTCGGGTCGGGTTAGCGATCCGGACCCCCGGATTTGGGTTATTACAATTTTATTGCTAGTTCTAGGATTATCCCTTAGATTCACCCTTGTTTAAGACGACTAGGAGGCATGTTCCACATTTGCATAGCTTATGTTATTCTTGCAAGACCAATAAAAAACTATTTTACCCTTATATGCATTTCCTACGGAGTAATGTAAATTACTCACCCTCGTTGATTTAACATTTTGTAGGTAAAGAAGTGCTCTTTATGGATTCTACCCCATATTAGCTTAGATATGCTTTCGTCGTAGTTGTTTTATACCTTTTTTGGAAAATGTATTGCTTGCAATATGTTAAGCATGCTTATTGTAATCTCTTTTGGATATGTTAAATTGGTATCATGTATTATTTTTTAAGAAGGGAAATGGTTCGGGAGCTTATTCTCATCTTTTGAAGTTCCCGGATGATTTCCACTTCTCTCCTTCACATTTGTAGCCATTCGTATAGACTCATGGATGTATGATCCTTAATCAATGCATATGGGATTCCAATTTACACTTATCGTCAATCTTGTTAAGGTTGCATGCTTTAAATACCGTTAAACTATCACATGTGTTGTCGGACTCTTTTCGAAGTTTGGATAATATTTCTTGGATGTACCGTGTATGTACTTTCCATTCATTGTTTATATTTCTGGTTTGGATGCATTGGGACAAGGCTAGGACGCTTGTTTTCAGGCTGATTTTGCCTCAGGGGTCCATCTGATGGGTTATATGGGGCCATCTAACCGGTTACATGGGCCTGGCAGAATGCTATTTTGCTGCCTCATTTATCTGATTAGTTAGATAAGGCCATCTGATCGGTTAGATGGACTTCGGCAGATTCTCCCACTTCTGGACCACTCATCTGATCGGTTAGATGGCATTCCATTTTCACTTTTGACCCATCTCTTTAAACAACCACATCTCCTTTGTTTTAAATCCAATTAAGGTCATTCTTGAGACTAAATTTATTTTTTTTGAGTTGTCTATCCAATGGTACAACCACATCCTCTATTTTAGAAAAGAAATTACGATTTTTCCTCTAGTTCCACGTCACGTTAGCTTTGACCTTAACTTCCGCGTTTGTTAACCGGGTTATCGGGCCTGGTTATGTTCTTTTGGTTGATGAACCAAATCATGGGATTTGGGGCGTCACATATGACATACAACAATGGAACAAAACATCTATCCTCAGCCACCTATGGACATTATGCTCAAATGAAACTACTGGTATTTGGAAAGAATGGACACTAAAGAACTTGATTAAGAACAAGAACATATGGTAAGTCGACATCCCCAATAACTGCTCCTGGTTCTTGAGAAAACTCATGTAGAATAGATCCGTTACACAGCCTCTCATCAAGCAACGGAATCAATAATGGCACCTCAACAATGATTTTTTTTGACAAGTTGTTACCATGTGGACCTCTTCACCAGGTATTACCAAACTTTAACTCTAGGCAGAGGTGGATTATCTACAAATTTATGAAAGTTTCCTCATTACTCTCACCTAACCATTGGTCATGTCCTAGACATCTCTCAAACCTAATAACACATCACTGTGATGTATCCAATTTGCCCTTCCCAAACCTAAACTCAAATGATGTTATTCAATGGACTCCATCAACCTCAAAAACCTATTCCCTCAAGCACACCCTCAAAGCTATCACACAAACCTCCTCCACTAGCTACTGGCACAAACTAGTGTGGTTTAAGCATGCTATATATACCCAAGCATTCTTTCTATCTCTGGCTAGCAATCTAAGAAAAGTTGCTTACTCAAGATAAGTCACCCTTGCTTTACACCATGCAACCAAATGCGTGCCCTCTATGCCTCCATGCTGCAGAAGACCAAGGTCACTTATTTAACAAATGCACAAATTCAAAAATACTTTGGAATGGTATACAAGAAAAGTGTGGCTTCTACACAAATCCCAACTTTTGGAAAGATTTTCTTATCACTTCCTCAAATTGGAAGCAAAAACTTTAGTTTAGTAGAATCATGACATGGAAGTTGGCATTGGCTAGCTGTGTGTACCATTGTTGGAAGAGAGGAACAACATAATATTTATAAACAAATCCGTACGTCCTCTGCAAACTCTCAAATTGGTAATTGATACAGTGCGAATGAAGCTCTTTTCAATCAAAAAATGTGAGTGCCCTTATGCAAAGAACATTGCAAATGACTGGAACCTGCCATCATCTTTCTTTGAAGCCTCACACGCTGGTCCTTCAACTCCACGATGCACAACCACTGCAAATCCACACTAATCCCCAGCTCCATCTCCCAATGTGTAATGAAGATGCTTTCAAATTGTTGATAATCACGCCTTCTCTAGGTTACTGTTTTTATTGTTGGTTAGGGTTCGTTACTTTTGAATTTAAGGGCTTGTTTGGATACCCCTTTGTGTTGTCTTTCTTTTGATTTAGCAGAACGTTGTGGGCTTTCTTTGGTTTGGGTTGGATTTGCTTTTGGGCCGTGCCTTGGGCTTTGATGTTGGGCTTTGGGGTATGCCCCAAAAGTAATAACCGCATCAACTCATATTTATTTAATTATGAAAGAGAAGGAAATCATTTGCCGCATCTATAATATTATCACTTATGTTCCATAACAAATCATTCCAATTGACTTTTTAGACACCAAGACGTGAAATTTTCTCCCCATTTGAAGTACTTCCAACCTATCTTCTTGAAAGTGGTGCTATCGGCCAATTCAACCTGGGCGGGCCGATCACTAACTGGTCTATGGGACCCGCCCAACTGTGGTTGGTCTTACTGAAAGATATTCAAGTTGGTTCAGCTTAATGTATTTTTATCCTTGTTGAAAAACATAAATACAGTATCTTCCCACTTACCTAAAAAGAGAGAAAGCAAAACAACTTGTTTAACACTGCAAACTGCAATTTAATCTTGGGAAAGTATTGTAATTTTATTGAAACCTTGTTTGTTTGGATGTAAAATATTTTTTAAAAAATATTTTTTTATCTTTTAGTGTTTGGTTGTCGTAAAATATTTACGAAAAAAAAAAATATTAAAATTTAACAAAAATAATTTATCCATAAATTTTCAGCAAGTTATTTTACATACTCCACTCGATGAACTCGGCTTTAACCTCAACGTAGACCTTTACCAAACACCGACAAAGTAAAAATAAAAAAACATTTTACCTAAAAATATATATATATTTTTCAAAAAGAATATTTTAAGTCGAAACAAACAGAACCGCAGTTTCTTTGTTTCAGTTGCTTCAAGCCTTATCAAGTTAGTTTCTTTTAGTTGTTGGTATGTCTTGCTTGCTTACCCAAAAAAGACATTTTTTTAACAGTAACAAAAGTTAAAACCCTAACGAATCAGCATGTCTCCTAACTAATCAGCATTAGTTGGACATACTTGATTATCTTCAAATAAAAGCAGGTATGAGTAAGTCTCAAGTCTCATCTTATAGCTTGAAATGGATCCTTTAACAAGTTCGAATTTTGCCCATGTCAACCACCGCAAAAGATATCCTCTCTTCCCAAGCTATAGTTATGTTCAGAACATAAATACAGATATCTTAGGTCACGTTTGATTCACTTATCAAATAACAGTAAAATACAAGCACATACTCATATAAAATGCAAAGTTCTACAATAATATAAGTTCTATAAACAGATGACGATGATTACTGACATACGTGCAACTTGTAGTATTATTTAGAATTCACTAACCATTACTCGGGCTCATCTAATGTCTAACCATTACTCGGGCTCATATAGTGTCTAATGTCTCACGTTTATCCATCATCTGCCAATCACAATAGTACATGAGGTGGGACTCAGATAGAAAGTTAAGAGGTTCTTGTCCCTCGTCGTCGTCGGATCCGTATGAAAAGAATATCGGATATATATGGGGAGTACGTAACACTACCCAATGGAAAGAGCATCGAATATATATGGAGAGTCTGTTAACACTATCCAGGGCCTAAACATCACAGTCGACCCCTTTCGGTGCCTAGTCCTTATTTTATGCAAGCATGTTATTAACAAAGCCGATATAGCATTACAACCAAACGAAGTATTAAATTATAGAGGAAGCACGACAAACAGATAATCAATCCTGATCAGTTTTTTTAAGTTCAGTAGCAGATAAGTTCAAAATAAAAAGGAAGTTCTAAGAGTTGTTTACTCTTCTAAAGTTAGACAAACGACCAATTCATGAACATGAAACAGACGCAATGGGCATTTTCTTCTTCATTCAACACTTTCCAAGCAACTGCTCTCTCGTAAGAAACAGGCCTGCCCATGCTCGACAAACAGATGCCGCTTTGAAGACAAGCAAAACCCTGCCAAAATAACAGAGCCAAACCCTGTTAGAATTGCTGTAAGAGTATTATTTTCTTTACTTTGAATAAAAAATGAGCCTCTAAGTGTCAAACAAATTAAATCGTCTATATCTTCTAAACTTCTACAATTGTTTAGGATTCATATTTTAACAATCATTACAGTAATGACTACCTTATCAATATTGAAATGATTCTTTGTCAATAAACGCTATGAACACCCCACCAGGACACCGTATAAAAAAGGACTAACCTGTTGCATTATTTGTGGGAACTCAGAGCAGAGATTTTTCTTTCCATGATCATCAAATATCTTTTCCAAAGTTATGTCTTGAAGTGCAACCAAGGTTGTCTCAAGCATGTCAAGACCAGCCTGGTTTGCAAAAGTGAAAACTGGCAATGCCTGCATAATTTGCAAAGTAAAATGAAAATTACTGAACCACTACAAGAAGCAATATGAAGACAAATATTGGCATTCTAAATTATTTATGCTGTCACAACCACTTTGCGGTATAAAAGTGTAATTAGGCCAGAGTACATCAAGAATAAGTTATGGCATCATCTGAGGTTGCAATTTCACATACTAGAATTTATGCTAAAAAGTGGAAAAAAAAAAAAAGGTCAGATTTTATAAATCCTATTATCCTTCATAATAATAATTTTTGTGTTTACATTAAAATGCATATTAACATTATGCTATTACATTTAAACAAACAATTGTGGTGCCCATGTTAGTGACATCATGCATATACTTCGGACTCTGTGAGTCTGTGTCTCTGTGTGTGTGCAAGTGAGATGAAAAAACATAAATGCACACCTTTAGAGAGCAGCACATGATAGCATCTGAGTGACTCCATAAAGTTTTAAGGATAGATTCACTTCCTTCGCCTCCAGATTTGAGCAGATCGACACCCAAGTAGCACCTGCAAGAAAAGCAAAAATCTATTTCATCATTACTGCACTATCTAGCATGCAAAATTCAGTAGTTGGGTTTTTCTGCCGCTAACTAACTGGAATTCTTAAATTGGGCTTTAAAATAAAAAAATTAACGTCCCATTTGACTTCACCAGTTCCATATGATATGTTTCATTGGATTCTAACTGAGAGCACACTCTGCTACAACACAGAATCAAAGGACATAACTCAACTATGTGTTTTCAACATTTAGAACACCCCATTGCTTTGGTAGCACCAAGGCGTGACAGAATCATGAACCTTAATGTCATTTACTTTTTTGGGTAAACCGAAAGTACCTGAATACCATTTGCTACTAATGAAGTAACGTATATTAAAATATTAACTCCACAAGAGGAACATTTAAAGAAGAAACTAGTTCCACAACGAGTTTCAAACTTCTTCTAGTTCCAAAAGATAATCAGCCAATAATTAAAATTGCTGTCTATTTTAGATTTTTCAAAGAAGGAAACTTTAACTTTATAGAAGAAGGCAAAAGTAGCTGAATTTCAAATGCTCAACGATTAACTTTTTTTATTAAATCCAATGAAACATTGAAAACAGATAATTAGCTTTTAAGAGGGAACGAGCATCATCTGAGTTAGCAAATGGATTTGGATCCTCTCCAAGCAGAAAAATACTTCGAGATGATCCATTCCCTTAGAAAATTATACATAGAACATCAGTTTGAACATTTCTTTGATTGTCAAAAAAAACTATTAAATGTAAATCCAGAAAAGACCCCTTGAGCGGCTTGAGCCCCACAAAGTAAATTATGCAAACGGATCCACCTGGTCAACAATACATTATATGACCAAGAACTTATGTCACTCACCTGTAACTGTGGCAGATCCACCGAGCGAGTGTGTGCGCTTCGGGAGTCCCTAATGGTGGCCGAAGGCCACATTGGGAACTTAAATGAGATGGAGAGAGTGCTAATGCCACCCTCTGAACTGATGATATAATGCTGCGGACATATTGCCTGGCCATAGATGCTACATTTTCTTGCATGTGGCTCTCAAACGCAAATTCAAATGCTATTGTCATCACAGATCTTGTACTGCCACTATTAGCAGTATAATCATAAGATGCTTTATTTCCTGCTGGCCCAATCTCAAGAGCAGAAGCAAGATCAAGGGTGCGATTTGGACTGGAGGCATCCTGCATAGTAGTTTTGCAGTTCATCAAAAATAAACGGAAGTCCAAGGAAGAGATTAGAAGGTAATGAAACACAATTACAATGTGATCTAAATCAAACCTTTCCAGGATCAAGAGGAATAATGCGAAAACCAGAAGGCAGAAGAGGTGCGTCATCAGCAAAAGAAGCATCAATTGGAGCAAATATGAGTTCTGCACAGGTACCAACAGCATTTTCATCCATTCCACTGCATAGCTGTCAAAAAAGTATAGATTGACAAAATTAGCAAAAAATATTGAAGGCATAAAAATGATGAATACAACAAAAGATCGGGACTAGGAATATGATCAAAGAATTATTCCTTATCATGTTATTCCTTATACTTGGTTTTTTAATCCAAACATTTACAACACTCCATGGCAATCAACTTAATGGTAACCTGGACAAAACAATATGCTTCCTTATTTTGGAACAGTTTTGAGACAGACAAGAAGCTGGACCAACCGACCACCTGCTTACTTTGGGAGCAATTGCTCATAAATGAGAGGCTTATTATTGAACAAATATTCAGATTAGCATTACTTTCCACAACAGAAATTTACATACAAATACAGTAAAAAAACAGCAAAGGACTAGTGATTCAGGAACCGTTTCAAAATTACTACCCAAATACAGCTCAAGCTTTAATTACTATTACATTATAATAACTGCACTGTCTTCTCAGTCTAATAATCACAAATTCAATGTTTGTGTGCATAATAATATTTACTTTAACAATCAGTGTGGAGGAAGACGGATGTGTCACATATATAAAATAAGAGAAAACAACATACATATTTAAAAGGCTAGCTACAGCTCAAAAAATTAACACAATCCCCGAACCCCCCCCCCCCCCCAAAAAAAAAAAAAAAAAAAACAGACAGACAGATTTAGGAGGCTAGCTTCAGCTCAAAAAATAAATAATCCCATCCCTGATCCCCCCCCCAACCCCCCGGCAGCCCGCTACACACGCACAAATATATATATAGATATTATAAAAGTCAACTGGTCCTGTAGTCCGAACCTATAACATCATTTTTTCCACAGAACCACCATCATTCACATGATAAAACATAACAAAAGGGAATATATATATATAGGCATAAGAACAAAGCTTACTTGCAGTAGGAACATGTCTCTGGGCATTATTGCGTCTTCAGGACAATGAACAACACCTTCCAACTTTATAACCTCCAGCAACTAAACACAAAGGAAAATATGTAACATATGTAACCATGCTAAAATTTGAATAAAGGTACTTCATTAAAAGACAAGATGGTATTAAAATTAGGTAGTGAAATATTGTTAACGCAAGACAAAAGGCTTGCCTCTTCATGTTCAATAGTGTGAGCCAGGGGAAGTATAACTTGACCCCCAAAATTTCCAACTCGAGACCCTGGAAAGCTACAGGGACCAACTTTAACAGCAGCAGCGGCATAAGCATCAATGTTGTTGTCTGCCCATTCTGACCTGTGCTCCCGCAAGAACCTCAGAAGTATTGCAGGAGGCACATTCTGAAATATGGGAAAAAGAGCTGATAAGAAAAGGAACATGGGGACGGGGAAAAAAATATATATACTAACTGTTAAAAGGATATTAATACAAATAAGAAAAAAAGAGAGGACCCAAAATCTTGTCTTAATTGACCAGGATCAACAATTCTTTCAAATTTATTTCAATTGATGAGCAGTTTTAATCATTAATTAAATCTAGAAATCAATGCATAATCTGAAAGGACAACCATCATATTAATAGATATAAATGCAGAGGTGACAAAAACTATAAAACAAAATTTGAACTCGGGAAACATAGCAATTGGTCACTTGAATGGTAAAATAATCCACAATTGAAGATTTCAGGACAGCACAAACCCCCATTGGGGAGATGAAGTCAATCAGAGGCTCTCTCAAGTCTAACCATGACAGCAAGTGATGACCTCTTTGAAGCAGTTATGTGGTTCTGTGCCCTGCTTAAAGCTAGGTCTTTTTGGTCTATTACTGTTATTTCAAATTAGTGATAACAGCAAATATACTCCCCATTCTGATTCACTTCATTATTTCTCATCCGCTCCAGACATTGCATGACGTTTGCTCTTTTGCTAAGTAATCCTAAAAGTCATCCCACAACTGCATGACCTCCTAAATCAACTTTTAAAGTTCCCCTTCCCAACCACACGCCCCCCCCCCCCCCCCCCCCCCCCCCCCCAACAAACAAAGAAAGAAAGTGGGCATCAGTTGTTATTTATGGGACATCAGATACTTAATTTAACAACCAAGGCAAAGGAAAATCAGTATTATTTTAGAATAAAGTGCTCAACAATTTCTTTTTGCAATTTATTTTCACAGAGGACTCAGCTAAATTAATTAATTCATTTTGCTGACCTGTAAAAGCATCGATGCTTTTGCACACATGACAGCATTACTGACAGCTGGGAATCCATTTGCAAAGGTAAGATTTAATCCCATTAGCTTGTCAGGAGAAGAGTTCACAAGGATAGTAACATCATCCATGCCATCATTTCCAATCATTGACCACCCCTCATCAGTAAACCCATTAAGAGCCTCATTGAAACCCCTGGCATAAGAGTATTTCAGATTGTGCACAATGGAGGATTAGAGATAAACCGAATGAGATGATGTCAAAGAAGTAGAATAAATACCTGCTCAATCTCTGGCTAAGTGCTCGCAAAGCTGCAGGCCGTCTGCCTCCATTCGTGACATTAGACTGAGAAACCTCCTGAGCTATCTGTCTCAGTTGGCGTAGAGCCTACAATAAAACAAGGACTCCGCTAGAAATCAAAGCATGAATTCCTCTGCCACTGGTTATCTACAATGCATAATGCAAGGATAATGAAATTCTTACCGCCATTGTTGTCCTTTGAGCAAGCACTGTTGATGATTCATACAATGGACGCAACACTTCAGGCACACTCCATGCCTAATCAATGATATAAAGAAGCTGATATTAGCAACACAGAACTCATCTAATTATGAGAAAGATACATGTGAATACACAAAGCAGGATGACTGCTTTACCTCCAAATTCACATGGTCAACAATGTGGATAATTGAGCCACCCCCTTCACAAGGTCTAATCAAGTATCCACTGGGCATCATTTCAGCTCTCACAAAATTCTGAACTTGTGGCATGGCTGGACCATTTTGAGTATTGCTAAGTGATCTTTCACAGACCTGGGCATCAGGTAACCAAAAACCAACTCTATAAGTGGTGTAAACAGGCAACTGGCGACTAGAGCAACAGCTACATGTACCGCAAAATTCAGACATATTGAATTGTAAGATTAAAACAGTCAAATACCACTAGACTGCCATCCTCCATAACAGAAGTATAGCGTAACAACCAGAAGTCACGAGCCGGCGCCAAGGTTGTTGGCGCGTACAGCTAAAACATCAACAGAAGCCAAAACCCTATTAAGAAGTTATACAAAAAATGGTCCACAAAACATTACAAGTACAAAATAATCAATACCCACCTGCATGTACAACAGTTCAATGGTTCCACCATTGGCAGTGGGTAGCACGTTCAAGACATCCACAGCTCGGCAATCCCGAAACCATGAAGGCCGATCCTTGAGGATCTCTGCAACCTGGAATTAACGTATACAATCAATTCTTCCAATAGACTCAAATCGTGGTACTACAAGAAGAAGAAAAAAGGACATGAAACCAAGTGGAATTACCCTGGTAGGTTCTAGACCCACAAGACCGCAGGCTCGTGCTGCCACACCAGTGCAACCATGAGAAATAGCAACGATTCCAATGGAATCCGGACCAGGCTACGCACATCATTGAATGAGAATAATTTAGGAGCAGATAATCAACTAACTGTTGAGGAGAAAAAAATTACAAGAATCCTCTAAATAAATGAAACAAGATTCACAAAACACAATTCTTGTACTTCCAGAGACATGCACTACTAATCGTATTAGGTTGACCCAATTAATAAAAGTAGAATTACTAGTCAAAACAACATATAGCTTGGTGTTATACTAACACTTGCTTTAGCAAGAGCTGGTGATATGGCAATAGTGGTAGCCTTCTATTCTGCTTAGCTTGTTAATACTTGTTTTATTATCTTAATATTTCATTATCTGATAATAGGGTATCCGCACATGTGTAGATAACTATTTTAAATTTTTGGAGATACCTTCATTCCAGGCATCTGGACCCACTCGACAGCAGTTCCAGTGGCCTTTGAAAGAAACTCTGTTAAAGTCTCTTCTGCAATGGACAAAAGCCTGGAAATATACAAAAGCATACAAGTCCATTATCCACGCACAAACACACACACACACAAAACAAGGCGGTCACAGAGAACAATGACAAGAAAAGGACCCAACAACCATATCCCCACTAACCCTGCAGGACTAGCATCCCTTGGCGGATGCTGAGGTGTCAGGTGGTGTTGACCGCTCGTCACCACCGACTCACAACTTGTGTCTTTGGTCGCAAGCGTCGTCTGCAATTGAAAACAACCCTCATATATCTCAATACTCAAGCCAAACCCAAAAAATTAAAATTAAAAATAAGGTTATACATATAATTTTAAGTAATTAGAGGCAATTATTGAGAAGCTTAAATCCTGACATTGGTTGTATGCTGCCGAAAGTATCCATTTTCATACACCAGTTGAGACACCTGTTTCTGCAACCTATCATTCTCTTCCATTAAAAGCTTGTTCATAGCAGTGAGCTTCCTATTCACAGCCTGAAGCCGTGAAGCCTCTTTCCTTTGTTTCTCTCTGCATCTGTATGCAACAAATAGACAAATCGCGAACAAAAAAATTGTGTGAAAAGGAAATAAATTAAATTATGAATCCCATAAATTTCATTAATTACGACTGGAGAATAATACTAACCCTCATAAAACAAGCCCAAATTCAACTATTTTTATTTTTATATTTTTTCTGCATTTCTCATACTGACATTGTAAGTAAGATACCTAATACAAAATAAAAATTAATTGTGAGAGATGCCATACCTTCTGTTCTGAAACCAAACTTTGATTTGCTTTGGCTCGATGTTTGAGAGAATTGGACATTCCCTAATAAGCTGCTGCCGACGAATTGAACTGGGCTTAGGGCATTCATGATAAAGCCTCTCGAGGGCTTCAACCTGCTCAGGTGTGTAGCGGACATACTTTCCATTGTCCATCACTCCCTTACCATCCTTGCAGGACATAGCCATCATCACTTCAAACTCACAACCCAGAAATAGTATGTGAAATCAATCCAAGTGTCGCTTCTCTTTCCAATGAAAAACTCCCGATACTTTAGACTAGCATAACCCAATCTCTATCCTTAATCAAAAGCAGACAAATGAACTTTAAACAAATGGATTTGAAGAGAATGTGTCCAAAAATCTTCAGTGCCTTCGATTCTTTAACCTATTAAATTATTCAGGAAATGCAATAATTTGATACAAACCGACAACATGGAACAGAATTACTGAACTGAAACGTTGTTATCCCTTCCTCCCCTCACAGCACCAAACACGAGAAATATATATATATAATCTTTTCAATAATCAGAGCTTCAAACAAACTAAAATCACCAGCAAAAGCACCAAAAGCATTTCGCATTTACTTCTTCTGCTCTGCGTCACTCACTCCTCGATATTCCTACAGAAAAAAAAAAAAAAAGACAGATTCGAAGGACCTGATTGATGATTTCTCTGTATGTTTCGATCCCTCAGAAGAAGAAGAAGAAGAAGAAGAGACTCGTGAGCTTTCCAATAGAGTTCAAAAGAACTACTCTACAACACACAGTACAACACCTCCGAGACTTGTAATGAACATTCGAAATGGAGATTTAACGCAAGATCGGAGTTTTTGATTCTTACAGTTTGTAACCAGATTAAGCGAAGAAACGAGACGCCGATCTTCATCGTCGTCCTGAATATTTTCTCTGTCACTTCTTCTCGCGAATCGTTCCCAATCTCTGAAACATTTTTCTAGGGTTTCACATACGAAGAGAACTCTCGCAACTGACCACTGTATAAAGAGACAGACCTATCTATATCTATCTATACACGTACACGTATATATACATACATGTATAGATATATAAATATATATTTATAGAGAGAGAGTATTGCAGTTAATGAGAGATCTCTGTGATGGCGATTCTCTGAGACTATGGATCTTGCTCTGAGTCGTGAGAATCGAAAGGAAGATGCATTGAATTGAAGTAAAAAGGTAACTAAAGCTACAAAAGAAACCCTAATTCTAGAGAGAGAAAGTGTGTGCTTTTTTTATGTGCTTTGGTTTGGTTTCATATTTGTGCTGTTGTTTTGTTGCTGTGTTTTTCATTGGTTCGTCACTTTCGGCCTTGAGAGGTCTTCACTTTACTGTTGCAGAGAAATGGAATCGAATAGTAATTTTTTAATTTAGGCCTTGTCAGGACAAAACTGCCCTTTAAACGTTTGGGATGAAATGCCCTACAAAGTTGACACATTTGCAGAACTGCCATTTTAAATTTTAACTTACCGCACCGAATTTTGTTATTTTTTTATATTATTTTATAAATAACAAAATCAATTAAATTGCATAGAAGGATTTTAAATGGATAAGGGGAGTCTTCTCCACAAAAGGAAGTGAAATGGGTATTATATGAATTGAGTGTTAGTCCTATTTAATAAGGTTGGATGTTAATCCTATCAAATAATTTAAATTTTTTAATCAAATCATGAACTATTTCTTTGTTACACTAAACTTTTCATGTGATAATCCAAAATTCATTTCAACTAAATAATGCTTAAATAAATTATTTTTATAACATGGAGTTTCAAAGTTAGATTTCAATTTGAACCAAAATTGAATAATAGATTCAAGTTTGAATTAACGTGAATCTACTTCATTTAAAGTCTTACCTTTTGAATCATTTACTTCGGACAAGATTCACAAATCGGTCAAAATGTCGTTTAATAGTAGAATTAAAAATGATGAAATTTTTTTTAATTAAAATAGTTCGATCATATGCCGTTAAAGTCAAAACTATATTATCAAGAAAAATAATTTGATAAGATATTTCGAGAGTTGCATTGAATAAGGTGAATTTGTTTTAAGCTCCTTGACACTACAAATCAAAGCAAGTGGACAAGTGGTGGATGGCAATAGAATGTAAATAAAGTGAGGACAAGGGGCATTAGTGGAAGATGATGCAGCAATGAGAAACGTAATAAAGAAGGGGTATGGGAAGGTTCGCGTGGGTCACAGAGGACAGCATGATGAGGTTTTTGCATGCGCCTCTCGATTCTATCTAAGGCTGTATTTATTACTACTACTCACTCCCACTCTCTCTCACTCACTCACTCCCTCACTATATATATATATTTACTACTCCCATTTTTTTAATTTTTTAACAGCTACGATTATTTTTTCAGGATTTAAACGAGACAAGCACGGTCCACGTCGTATGGGTGGGTGTAGGGTTTGAGTGCCAACTGTGCACCTAGTTATAATATGCATCAAAAATAATTGAGATCAATTTAATAATAGACGTGATATTGGAATAAATTTAATTCAAATCTGAGATTTGTTCGTTTAAATTCAAATTGAATATATAAAATGATTTCGTTAAATTAAATTGGTTCAACTAGACTTGGGAAAAGTTCAAATATAAGTCATAAAAAGTGAAAGTAGGAGTAATTATAAATTCGAGAACAGAAGTGTGAGAGTCGCATAATTAAGTCATAAATAGTGAGAATTTGACACAGAACACGCGCCGAAACGTGAGAGCAGGAGCTTGCTCGAAGTATAAGAACGACACCGATTAAAAATGATTGTGTCACTTAGGTTCAATGTTGTTAATATTTTCAACAAAAACTTTATTACGGATATTAATATGGCTTGAATTCAAGCTAGGCTTGATATTAATGTAGTGCAAGTTCGAGATGCGACTTGCGACTAGTTTATTCTGACGTTGATGTCAAGATGACTCGAGTAGTATATTATGGATCCGTTTGGCATGTGCTTTGTTTTACGCATTTTATTTTTGCCTAAAATAAAAATAATGTTTTTACTGGAGGAGTGTTTTGGAAAAAAATTTAACACGTTTGGGAACAATGCTTTAGGCGTTTTGTTTTTATCTCATGTTGCGCTACTGTTATGATCACACTTGTCTCTTTTGAAACTTAAACCTCTAACCTCCCTTTGTGAAATAAGATGATAGGCCATGAATAATTGTCAAAATAAGAAAAAATAATTTTTTGGTATTTTGATTTTAAGCCACTGTTCACAAAATGTTTTAGCACTGTGTAAAATAAAATAAGGCCGCACAAAATATTTTTTTGTTGCTAAAATCATCATTATAGCAGCCAAAAACAAAAACAACAGAAACAAAACGCATGCCAAATGAATATGTCTAAATCTTTTCAAACATTGATCTAGAGTATAGTAGAGACTATTGAGTTGAGGTTAAATTTGAGTTGGTCTGATTAAGTTGCACTTAATGCAAATAAAGCTAAGAAAGTAGGAAGCACGGATACTTCTGTTAGGGTGTCATGGCGGTATTAGAAACTTGAATACTTCTCAAATACACGAATATGGTTCAAACACGTGTCGGATATGGGTAGAAGTATTCTGAATAGTAAATATTTTATTTTCTGATCAAACACGGCTGTGATAAGACATAGACACAGTAAAAATACGTTTTGGAGACGTACAGAATACAGCGAGCTGATTCTATAATTATTTTAAAAAAATAAAATTCAATGCAATCTAAAATATATTATGAATTAATTAAAAATAATAATATAAAATTTAAAAAAACAAAAATAAGAAACATCTACCTCTAAATTCCAAATTACTGATTTATTTATAATTATATTGATAAAATTGCAAATAAATACATTATTTATATAAATAAATATATATCATATTATATTTTTTGACTGGCCTGTATTATATTTGTATCTTAATTTTTTTAAAAATTTGTTATACCAACGTGTTAATATCTTGTCATACTCGTTTTTCGTTCCCTATTCGTTGTTCATAAATGAGAAGATTTTAAATTTTGAACTCCCAAACCCATTATCATTATCGTTGGGACTTACTTCTAACCCCTCCTCCTTACTGATCATAGTCATATACCAGAATTAACAAATTTATTATTTTAACTATGAACTTGACTATTTTTATTTATAAATTTTTACGTCTAATTTAGTAAATTGCATGTTGATGATGTGTACAAGATATAAATAATTATACTCATTTTTATCTCCGTATCTAGGAGTGTTTTTATTATGTTATGTTTAATTTTAATATTGGAAGTAAGAATTATACTCTGTAGTGCTTATAGCTTGTAAGGATATAATGGATTGTTTTCTCTTTGGTGATTATATTAAATTTTATTTCAATGTTCAAGTTAGAGAAAGTGGATGAATATATACCAATAGGTTTGTGGCCTAGCGGTACAAGATTCCTACTTCCCAAAAGAATGTCAGGAGAAGGACACAGTGTATGTGAGTTCCAACTAGAAAATAAAAAAAAAGTTGATAAAAATTTTTCTCGAAGCTGTACTTTTTGCATCTTCCTTTCATCAATTAATTTGTGATATGTATCTTGGTCATCGATCATTATTCTTTGTATTTATATTTATTTCAATATTTTATTTCTTAAAGAAAATCGTTTTTAACAAAATTACATTATCATTTTTATCTGTCTTTATTCATATGAATAAGAATTGTATTTAACAAAATTTATAATTCAAACTTTCTCTATCGAATTTATTCATTTGTGTTTCTTGTCTCAAAGTTACTCTCTTTTATGTCTCATAAAACAGACAAACACTTGCAAACTTTGGTGAATCCAAGTAAGAGTAAAAATAAAAGCAAGATAAAATCAGTGCAAAAAGAGATGAGGATTTTTCATTCTATGCTTTTAGTTGAATAAATAGGAAAATCTAGGTTATCCAATATATGTAGGTTCTTTTTCTCGATAATCACCTTGTTTGAAATTTTGTTCCAATTAATCTCTGGAACATAATATAAAATGCCACCTTCACAAGGGTTGGAAAAACTCAAGCTTTCACTCACCTGAGTGGTCCAAAAAATTCTTTGTGATAAACACCAAACCCAAGGAAGAGTAAAAATATAAGCAAAATAAAATTAGTGCAAAAGAGATGAGGATTTTTCATTTTATTATTTTAGTTGAATAAATAAGAAAATTTAGGTAATCCGGTATATAGAGGTTTGTTTTTTTTCTATAACCGCGATATTCGGAACTTTGTCGTGATTAATTTTTGAAAAATTGTGTAAAAAATAACATTTACAAGAGTCAGATAAAATTTAAGCTTTTACTTACGAATCAAAAAATATTTTGCACGCTTGACAGTAGATCTTAAATCTCTTATTAGCAAAGATCCCAATATTTATAAAAATATAATTACACTAATGCTTACGTTGGTTTTGTAGAAGGAAAACAATATCCTCTTTTTTATTTTACAAAAATCATAAAGAAATCACCAAATCTACAAGTTCCGGCAGTAAATATCATATAAAAATAATGAAATCTAAAATTAAACATGAAAGGGAGATGAAAACGTACTCATAGGGTATGTGATAATGACACTTTTATCCATATACGCCTGCCTGCAGCATAACATACTCACATACATGAGATGACATGACCCCAATGAGATGACATGACGTGACATATGAATCATGATGGGGTGGTGGGTGTAATGTAATATATAGGTGGGGACATCTAACTGGTTGGCAGCCCTTCTAGTCGGATGCTAGCCCAACCCTTGATAAGCATGATGGGATAATTTTGGATATGGTTGGTTTTTTTTTTTTTTTTTTTTCAAAAAATACTCCCAAAATGCTTACAAAAATGTTAATTGACTTTCAAAGTGTTTGAAAAGAAGAAGAGATGGGTATTTTTATAATTTTAAAATAATTATTATAATTTTTAATTTAATATTAAATAATAAGGTTAAATTTGACTTTTTACAACTCATTAATGGTTGGTGGCGAATTTGAAAGTAACTTGATAAGTTTTATTAATTTAAGAAAATTTTCAATTGTACTAAGAATTTTATACAAATAGAGGGTTTTTTTTTAATATGATTTTAACCTAATAAATTATTATACAATAGATATGTTATATTATTATATACTATATATATATATATATATATATATATATATATATCTATATTATATATAAATATTGTATTATAATTAATTTATGATACTATAGTACATTATATATTTTATTATAAAATATAGTAGTTATCATTTTTTATTTATTTTATATATATATATATACACTCCTCTACTAGTATAAAATTCCCAGTAAAATTGAAAA